CTGTCGACAAACACTTCTAACAGACTCTGCGCACAATCTATTTTAACAGGTTTGTCTGTCTGGGTAAGTATGCGCCGACTTTTGTGACATCAAGTCTGTTGTTTCGCTCTGCACCAGTGCAGCAGTGCAAAGTGAAACAACAGACCTATGGACACTCAGTGGCAGCAGACTTTTCCTCTGTGGTCCTTTAGCCATAACATAAACCTATGGACACAATAGCGAGAGAGCACATATTTTTACGCGTCTTTTCATTTAAATTCTTACCTGTCCTGTGACATTGTGTAGTACAATTCTTCCTCTATTACACTTATCGCAATCTTCAATATCTTCTCGCTGCTCACAAATTCGTCGACTCACAGTAAATACAGTTGAACGGAGAATAACCCGAAACATCTGATGAGCTACGTTTCAAAAGTCTACCCCGAAGGAAGAATACTCAATTAACCAATCATGATAAAGAATTAATTAAATTCTGTTGATTCTGATTGGTCGATGGAATGTTATAGTTTTAGAACGCGGCTACGTGTTGCACATCGCGTTAAGGCCAAATCACACTAGCGATTGGCGATGGATGATTGACGATTGAAGATTGGAGCTTGACCAATTGGAACAAAGCAAGACAAAGCTGAAGCTTGTTGATTCATTAAAATTTAATGTTTAATTGTCAATCGTTAATCGCTAGTGTGATTTGGCCTTTACTCAATATCCAATCGCAATCATTTTCCATGAATTCACCAATCTTACATATCTTATTCAGTCTGTAGAAACATCGGATTGGATATTGAGACTGCATTTCAAAATGCACTGCCACTAAGGCTGTGTTCGGAAACTACACTCGGGTGCTATCCCTCTTTTTTCATCGCATGCTTGTATCTCTCTCACTCCAACGCAACGGGTGCACCCACGTGGAGTTTCCGAACACAGCCTAAACGAAATATACAAGGGGTCGATTGTGTATCACATAATTTGGCGAAAATGGCCGCGTTCAGTAGAACAAGTGATCAGTAAGCGCTCAGGGAGCTCTTGTATATGATTTGGCATATTCTTTTAGATCTCCAACTATACTCCAATCAGATGCAAGAGCTCACTGAGTGCTTACTGATCACTTGTTCTACTGAACGCGGCCAATGATAAAAGTGAGCGAATTTACAAACGAGATGAAAATCACAAGAGTGAGGAAATTCACTAGATGTTGATCATTGAAATTGCACATATTATAGTAAATTCGTTCACTTTTATCATTTTCACCAAATTATGAGATATACAATCAACCCCCTGGTATTAGGCCGGTATTCATAATCAGGTCTTATATTTAAGACCGTCTTAAGTTCATCTTCAGATGATGCACGGATTATTTCATTGGCTATGGAGTATCTGAAGATAAACTTAAGACGGTCTTAAATATAAAAGCAGACTATGAATACCGGCCTTAATGCCCGGTGCACACTTGGTGCCGTGTAGAAATAACAGCTCCCATTGGATATCGTTCATCACGTCCAGTGTACACCGGACGTTACGTGTGAAAGTATTGAAATTGCAAACAACGTGAACAAATGTTACAGTTTACGTCACGTACATTTGTAATAATTTCAGTGTATTTCATAACGCAGTTAAAGTATAGTACGTTTTGGCTCCTGTACACAGGACGCGATAACACTTGCCACACGTCAGAAGTTGGCGCGATAGCCAATCAAGGAGTCACTTTTCCGTTATACTTTCTATTTCTGACGGAAAGCAGCACATTGATTGGCTATTGCGGCAAGCGTTGCCGCATCCGGTATGTAGGAACCATTGCACATATGTTTAATCAGAGTTCAACTTGCACGGAGTTTAAAAGTTTGCGGTGTGATATATCCAGGAGATTGCAGTTAGATATTTTTCACAAATTTGTGATTTTCACGGATCCCACATTTTGGCCTGGTAAGACCAAATGAAGGATATTAGGACTGTCAAGGATTTTCAAGAATACCAGGATTCAACGACCAGTATTTTTAAGGATACCAGGATTTTCAAGGATACCACATTGTTCACCTGCGAGAACAAAGTTCGTAAATATGAAGCCACATTTAAAATTATCCACCTCGCGCAAATTGTTGCACAAATTATCTATGAGGCAAAGGAATAAGGTTATGAGTGAAATACGACGCAATTTACATTTGTAACGATGCACACCTGCATCGTCACTACTCCGGCCCGACCGACCATCAGTCGGGCCGTACACCGGCGCGTTGCGCCAACAATAAACGCCGAAAGGCCGACAAACAAAACACGTAAACAATCGATAACGAGTATAAACAAAGCGAGCGAAGATCACACGAGAAATCGGGCACAGCGGAAACAATAGCGAGCGAGCGCCGCGAGCACGCGACGCGCACGTGTACGGCGAGCGAAGGCAAAGAAGCGTCAAGTATATAATCCGCGACGCCAAATTAATCAGAACCGGACCGTCAACCGAACTCGATGCTACACAGCGGAGAGCAAGGCCTACGACCGACTCGTATCTGCTTCCTCAACCTGCCAACGATCACATCCTCGCAAACTAGGACCGAAGCCAGTACGTTAGCTGTGCTCTGCCGATCTTTATCGACTCTAGTTTGCATCCCGTCGACATCCCGAACAAGGACCGAAGCCAGTAAGCTAGCTGCGCTCTGTCGAGCTTTCTCGACCCTTGTTCTTTACCTTTCGACGAGCGAGATCGGGTGTGAATACGCCGATACATCGGCTACTCACGCCCCATCTCGTCTCTTGCGACGCCGACGGGCAAGCGAGCGCGTAGCCGTCAAAACAGCAAAGACAGCGTACAATACTGTGATATGACTTCGATACCGCCGACACCGCGCGGTCCCCGCGACCAGCCACGCGAGCCGCGTACGAATCGCGAATACCGAATCACGACACGCGACCGTCTCCTGAACCTCCGAGGCGAGCCTAACTATCGCGCTATACGCTCCGCCTACCGACTTACTTGTCGCGACCTACCGAAACCGCGATCCGGTAACTGGCGCCGTCAGGAGCACTGTATACTAATACGCGAATACTCTGTACCAAGGCTAAATAAATCTTTTTGTTATTTTTATCTTACACTCCGCGTCCTATTATTTCACGAACCCGGACTCCGACGAGCGAATACATCCGTGGCAATGACACCAACCGACACGCGGAGGACGGTTGTTACACATTTACAAAATTCTGCAATAAAAAGTAAACGTAACGTTGAACATGTAGAGTCCAATGACAATTCTGAATTACAACATCTTTCACCTTTGCCGGAATGTAGTTCTTCAAATTACTTTCCTTCCATTAACGAAAATATTGCCAGTACAAGTCGTGGAGACATAGAGGATGATAGAGCATCATGTTCTTCTTCCATTTCTTCTAATGTTTCTTATGCATTGTTTTCATCTTTTAGTAGTTTGTCTGAACTATCTTTTACTGAAATTTTAGCTTCTTGTTTTGTTGATTCTAATACACTTACTCTTTTAACACATAATCAAGGAAATAGTGTCTTAGCTATTTTGAGAACACATACCTGCTTTATCAATTTGCCCAAAGATGTAAGAACTTTGCTAAATACACCAAGGCATCGTGTTGTTTTGTGCACTGTTGAGCCAGGGGAATATATACATTTTGATTTGGAAATTGCACTTGTTGAAAGCCTTTGTAACGCTCCATTTGTATCTCGTATTGGAGAACTAGAACTCGATTTTAATACTGACGGATGTACATTAGATAAATCAGGTACAGTTCAAATTTGGCCAATTCAGTGTAGAATATCAAACTTACACAATACAAAACCTATAATTGTCGGAATATATAAAGGTGCGCAAAAGCCATATGATGCTACTGCTTTATTTGAAAAATTCATTGCTGATGTAAAAACAATTTTTTCTAATGGAGGTATCAATTTTCGTGGCAC